TGGGACTCGATCCCGGGACTCCAGGATCATGACCTGAGCCGAAGGCAGTCGCTTAACCAACTGAGCCACCCAGGCGCCCCAAAAGATGTTCTAGGGTTTTAATGCCCCTAGAATAGTAGTTTTAAAAATTAAGGGTGAGGACTCACAGTGAGTCCAGCAGTGAGGATGAAGTAGGGTCTGAAAGACGAGCCCTTGCCTTGTCCTGGGGGAGAGGGTCCATCCAGCTCCTCGGGCAGCCCTTCCCCGTGGGATCGCACACACCTTCTCTCTCAGGCTGGCGTCCCTGCTAATCGTCTGTTTTGCGCTTGTTTGCATCAAATATTTGTTCTTTTTGAGCGGTCCTGACCACCTAAATTTACAATTCTTTCCAGTTGTGGGTTGGAGAGAGGATGCCTTTGGCAACTTCCACGGATCATGGCCACAACCTCCAGACTGTGCAGCTGTTAATAAAGAAAAATCAGGTAAGCGTTCCTCCTTGGGCTAGCTCAGTCTGATGAATAATTGCTCCAGATTACAGGGCAGAGACTGGGAGAGAGCACTGTTTCCCTGCTCCCACAGACCCTCCAGAAAGAGATCCAGGGACACCAGCCTCGCATTGATGACATCTTCGAGAGGAGCCAAAACATTGTCAGCGACAGCAGCAGCCTCAGCGCTGAGGCCATCCGGCGGAGGCTCGCTGACCTCAAGGAGCTGTGGGGTCTCCTCATCGAGGAGACTGAGAAGCGCCACAGGCGGCTTGAGGAGGCGCACCGGGCCCAGCAGTACTACTTCGACGCGGCCGAGGCGGAGGCGTGGATGAGCGAGCAGGAGCTGTACATGATGTCTGAGGAGAAGGCCAAGGTGAGAGAGGTTTCCAGCCCTGCCCCAGGGAGCCTCAGACTCCCACCTCGAGCTTGTTTTCTGTGGGTGGCTGTGTCTTGGTCAGACATTTCATTGTTGCTTTCAAGTTTCATGGGGGACACTGTGGTGCATTAGGTGACTGGAATCTGTGGCTGTTTCCCCTTGACACAGAATCTTCCTCCGAGTCCTGGTATGTCATTAAGACTAGGTTTATCCTTTTTTTTTTTTTTAATATTTGCCAGAGTGCTTTTTGCTCTTTAATAGAGTTACCTAAACTTTACAAGATGCTTTTGAGACCATTTAAAAGTTTTTAGGGTTGCAGCATGCTGTTATCTACTTATGTGTTAGACTGTGAGGAGCCTCAGTCGGCCAGGGCACACTTGGTTTCCTGGGCTTTTGCCTGTACGTCAGAGGAGTCTTACTCATTCCGTATGATCCTTGTGTTCGTCTTTCACGGGGCCTCCCGTGGTCCAGACCGTGTTGACCCTCCTGAAAGGCTTCGGTGTTGCACTGCCCATATCGCATTTGTGGTTTTATTCTTTCTGATGATTCTTCCTTCCGCCCATCATGCAGTCAGCTGGTCCTGCTTGAAGGTGGTGTTGGGTCAGAGGGGACGACTGTGGTTGTGACCCTCCCCCTCATTGCAGGATGAGCAGAGTGCTGTCTCCATGTTAAAGAAGCACCAGATTCTGGAACAAGCCGTGGAGGACTATGCAGAGACCGTGCATCAGCTCTCTAAGACCAGCCGGGCCCTGGTGGCTGACAGCCATCCTGAAAGGTGAGTACTGTTTCGTCAGGATGAGAATGGCCGCTCTGTTCCTCCCAGTGGGAGGGTCTGTTACTCTGACCCATGCAAACGGGAATGGCAGCACCCATCTTGAGTAACTGGTGATGTAGATCTTTGGGAAGCATCTGTAAAATAGACCCAGTAGGCTTGTGCTGAACAGAAAGGGCGAACTGTTATGTTAGGAGATTGTTCTTGTGGGGAACATATCTCCTATGAGCCCAAGGCCTTCTTGAAAAATGGTTGGTGTCATGAGTCACAAGTACAGATTGACTTGCACGGATATGGGTTATCAGAACCTACCCTTGGGTTGAAAGTCACCCAGTTTAGTTAAGTGAGGATCAGTTTTAGGAGGAGTGGTAGACAAGAATGCACAGACCTGTAAAATAATGGGAGCAAGATGATACCACTTCCTCACAGATCAAGTCCTTCGAGCACCTTGGGAATAAAGAAGAAGAGGGGTATGTGTGTTACTCCCCCACTTTATAACACGCTCACATATTAACTTTAATGGCAGTTATTTTATGTTTGCTATGTAACTGCCTTTTATAACTCCGGAAAAGAATCGGCTTTGTGCATCAACCAAGGCAAGGTGAAGATGCAATCAGTGGCTGTGTTGGTGTGGGCGTCCTTCATGTGTTCATGATAGGATTCCCAGGAAAGTGCCTTCCTAGTCTCTAGGGTCAAGCATCAAGAAGTCCTTGTCTCTTTGGTTTCCTGTTACAAGATTGTCCTTATGAGGAGAAGTTGGAAGGAGGGGAGGCAGCACTCCCAGGACCCACTTGACAGGAATGGTGGGGAAGAGCCTGCACCCCAGAGAAGGTAGAGATGTGTGCCAGTCAGGGATAGCATTTGTCCCTTCGGCCGCATGGTTCTTGAGAATGGAAGGTGGCTCCTGGGTTTTGCATTAACTTTTAACGTCAAAGGAAATCCTGACTTCCAGAGTCAGCAATGCAGAGAATTAGGGTTTCTCCTCCCTCCCTCCATCATCACCATCATGATGGCCTTCAGCCTTAATGATTGTGTTTTGTTTACATGTTGGCTCTAAAATTACTCAAGGTCAAATTCCGGAGTTTTGTATTTTAGGCTAAATAGGAGAGCCAGAAGTTTCCTTCGAGAAATTTTATGTAACATGCTCTCTTAGCGTTTCCCCCTCATTTGTTTTCTCCCTGAAGAAAATGTGACATTTAAGGTCCTTTTCCTGCCGCCCCTCCCCACCCCCACCCCCTCTTCCAGTGAGCGTATCAGCATGCGGCAGTCCAAAGTGGATAAGCTGTACGCTGGCCTGAAAGACCTCGCTGAAGAGCGGAGGGGCAAGCTGGACGAGAGGCACAGGCTCTTCCAGCTCAACCGGGAGGTGGATGACCTGGAGCAGTGGATCGCCGAGAGGGAGGTGGTCGCAGGGTCGCACGAGTTGGGGCAGGACTACGAGCACGTCACGGCAAGTACCGCGGGCAGAGCCGGGGCAGCCGGGGCAGCCGTGCAGTGTGCACTATGCCTGGAGGGCCGCTTGACTCCTTATCTGTGAGCACATCACACGCCCCAGACTCTCATCAGAGGTCATGGGGTTTGGTTTCAGCTCAGCTTTTTTATCACCAGACAACTTTGACTTAGCTTGTTTAACCTTTCTGTGCCCTTTTCCCCAGTAGGAAAAGGAGATGGAGCCAGGGCCTTGCTCTGCGATAGTGAGCAAGGAGGAGGCCTGATTGAGTTTTTAGAGCTAAGACCTGTTAAGTCACGCACACTACTTGTTACTTTCTGAGGGACGTTCATGTGATCAAGAAATAAAATGTTCACGGTAGTCTCACTGATTTTTTTTTTTTTACACTTATCCCCATTTCAGATGTTACAAGAACGATTCCGGGAATTTGCCCGAGACACCGGGAACATTGGGCAGGAGCGCGTGGACACCGTCAATCACATGGCTGATGAACTCATCAACTCTGGACATTCGGATGCCGCCACCATCGCTGAGTGGAAGGACGGGCTCAACGAAGCCTGGGCTGACCTCCTGGAGCTCATTGACACGAGAACACAGATTCTTGCCGCCTCCTATGAACTGCACAAGTTTTACCACGACGCCAAGGAGATCTTTGGGCGTATCCAGGACAAACACAAGAAACTCCCTGAGGAGCTTGGGAGAGATCAGAACACAGTGGAGACCTTACAGAGAATGCACACCACATTCGAGCATGACATTCAGGCTCTGGGCACTCAGGTGGGTCAGGGAGCTGCCCAGAGTGGTGGGGAGCATCTTTGTGCATCTCTGAGCGTTTCTCTCCATTCCTTGGCTCCTCAAAACATGCCTCCAAGAATTGCCCAGATTCAACACACACACACACACACACACACATTGTTAAAATGCTCCATTTGGGAGAACTCAGTCCATAAAGTTCACAGTGTGCTGCATGTGCAGACATCATTAAGTGACTCTCCCCACAATTAAAACAAACCAGATGCACTTGCAAATGTTTGCAAGTCATAGACCTTCTCAACAAGAATTTGTATTATGTTAGCTGTTCACCCAGAATCGTTTCCACAATAATACCTTATTATTTTCCATCCACCAGGATCTGAGTTTTATGTCCGTGAAGAGGGAAAACAAGAGTCTCATGTTTTAATATGCCTGGTCTCCCCACTCCCCCAGTCTGAAATGGCTGACACAAGGACTTTCTTTAAAAGATGCTTGACAGAGTGATAACAGCATAGCAGTGAGAACCTGGAGTATAATCACTCTTTAGTTCACTCCCCAGTCTCTGCAGTTTCTTGTTTAGTCTTATGACTTTTAGAGGAAAAATCAGTTGTATCTTTTTTTCCTAAACTTGATGGTCCTAGGGGAGAAACCAGTTTTATTAAAGATACCAGCCCTGAGTGTGTTAGGAGGTTTGTTCTTGTCTGTTCGGAGCGTGTTGGTAATCTAGGGCAGGGATCAGCATAGGAGCGTGGATGGTAAGTATTTTCAGCCTTGTGGGACACGTGGTCCCTGTTGCAAATCCTCAGCTCTGCCTTTGTAGCATAGGTGGCCCCGGACAATACGAAAGGAAGGAGCATGGCTGTGGCAAGGTAAATCTTGATTTATAGAAACACGCGGCCCAGCTTGGACTGTGGGCTGACCCCGATCCAGTGCCATCAGCCTTACCAGTCTTCGGTATACTTCGGAGTTTGTTCTCTGGAGGGACCACCTTTCCCATTGCCTTCTCCCCTGCCCTTAATTGGCCCCTTCTAGAAACTGATAGATCACAGCTGGGGCTCCGTGCAGATTAAGTGGCTTCAGCTTTTCCACCAAGGAGGTAGAAGATACCGAGGGAATATTTAAGAACGGGTATGTGGAGTGGCTTAGGGTCTGCATGAAGCACAATTTAGTAGGGGCGTCCACCGTGTATCCTGAGGATTTCCAGTCTTTCCTTCAGAGCTGGTGGCCTCCCCAGCTCTGACAACTCGCCATTCGGAAGCTTGTCAGCTTTCCTGGTCAGGGGCTTTCATCGCACATAAGGTCCTCGGGCACCACGTGAATGCCTGAGGCTCCTAACAATGCAGTCTCACCTGTGCCTGGAGCAAGGTCCCTGGAGAGGGGCAGACCCCAGTTTGAATTGGGGCCTGTTGCTCTGTATCACTGCAAGTTTAATTTGTGCTCCCGTGAGAGCTCTATAAGTAACTGTTGTTACATAAAAAAGAGCTTGGGGGAACTTGTGGGATGCCTCAAGGACAGAGCAAGAACAGACCTTCCCGGTGGTAGGTCTTTCCCTGCACCTGTAAAATCACTTTGTTTTAGAACTTCAGGAAACTCCAGAAATGATGGAGTTGCTCTCTTATTTTCTTCATTAAACCCCTTCACCTGGTGAGACTCAGATTGCTGAGGGCACCCATCTCCTCTCGAGGGAGGGAAAGAGTCCACTCCCTCGAGTCTTGAGAGTCTCTGCCTCACCGTATCTGCTGGACGAGGCCATTTACAGCTCTACAAGTATGCGTGCCCCTCCTGCAAATCAGCCCAGGTTTCTTGTAACAGAATTAGAATAGAGGGAGGTCCTTGGGGCAGGCTCCCAGAAGCCGGTGGTGCGTCCTTGCCCGCCATTTAACTCTTTCGCCAGCCCACTCTGCACTCTGCACGGGAGCCATGGTAGTGGTCCTCACTGACCGCAGTAGTTCATTTGTGTGGGGAATTTTCACTTTTGCTGTCCCTCCTCTACCTTGTTTTTGTTTGTTTGCTTGGGGCTTTTTTGTTTGTTTTTGGGTTTTTTTGAGAACAAATTAAAAACAACCAGAGGCACAGGAAAAGGTTTTTTGTTATTGTTTTCATTTTGTTTGTTTGGGTTTTTTTTTTTTTTTTAATTGTTGGGAAAGATTTGGTTAGTCCTATAGGAAATTAGTTTTTCAAATAATTTCCTAGGAACTTGCTCGTTGTACTTTGAGTTATACCTGAGCCACAGTCATGGAAGATTTCCAGAAGCAGGGATATGGAAATCAGATCATCATGAAAAATAAACCGCATTGTGATTCTTCTTTGCATCTGTTGCAGAAATTTGTTTGCCTTACATGCCACCACCTGCAGTCCTTCTTTGTGGTCAGGGTCAGTGTCCAGCTCCTTGAAAGCACCGGTGTTGTCCATCCTTCCCCCCTTCTCCCCGCGTACACCCCCTGCTGGTATCCAACAGCAAACTCCCCTCATAGGCTTCTCCAGGCTCCTGTAGTCTGGGATGACACTTGTCTGTGGACTGTGGTCACACAGCCTCAGGAAATGAAGGCTGAGTGTATATTCTCCTATGTGTGTGTTCTTAATTTTTAATTAGATGTCGTCAACAGTATGGCACGACTAATACAAAAAAGCCCCAAGCAAACAAACAAAAACAAGGTAGAGGAGGGACAGCCAAAGTGAAAATTCCCCACACAAACGAACTACTGCTCTGAGCGGTCAGTGAGGACTACTATGGCTCCCGTGCAGAGTGCAGAGTGGGCTGGCGAAAGAGTTAAATGGCGGGCAAGGACGCACCACCGGCTTCTGGGAACCTGCCCCAGATAACAGAAATCTAAAAATATAAAATAGCCGCAGTTACGACTTTCTCTTACACAGGCCTATCTCCCTTCCACTCCTCCCCCCAAAAAAGGTGAAAGCCGATCCTTTTTTTTCCCGCTTTATTGCTCAGGAAGTGGATATTAGGTACACTCCATCCTCCTAGAACCCTTTGCATGAGTATATAGAGCCCTTCCTTGTTCTTTTACATGCCTGCAGAAGAGCCTCTTGTATGGATGTGCCATCATGAGTGTAACCGGATTCTCACTGATGGACCTTTATTTTCACTCTTCTGCTTTTACAGATGTTGCTACAATAAATAATGTCTTTCATTTCCTAAATGTGCATAATTACATGTAGGATAAATTCCCCGAAGTGGGGTCATAAAATCAGAAGGTGCGTTTGTAACTTTGATGCATACTGCTCGTGGCTTCTACAGGGGCTGTAGCCCCTTGTCCTGTCAACAATCAGATCACTCACTGGCAGATACACCATCAGACTCGAATTTTTGCCAGCTAATAGATGACAAATTATAGTATCTCCGTGGAGCATCTTTTCCTAAGACCCGCTTGCATTTCCTGTTCTGCAGAGTTTTTATTGAAATTTGGTGAGTGAGAAGTCCACCTTCTTGGATGTCAGTCAGTTTTTTGGGCTACATGAGATGATATATTTTTGTTTTTCAAGTTGAACTGGCCCATGTGAGAGCTCTTACAGCAACATCACATAACAATGGAAAACTTGTTTTCAAACTGAGTTCTTCATGGCAGTTCCTTGTTGTTCATGATTTTAAAAAAAAAACAACAAACCCTTTTGTGTACCCTGCAAGAGCCGGTTGCGTGTTGATTTTTTTTTTTTTTTTGCGTGTGTTGATTTTTCTAATATGTCTGCATATGTACCCTGTGCTTTCTGTACCATCTTTATATCCCAGGCCGCCTCCAGGACACCTGACCAAGGTCCCCTGCCTGCATTCCTGTAGCATTTCATTTGTCTTCTCATTCGCACTGAACTCCGTAATGCAGTTTGGTACATTTATACTAAACTTGGATTTTTCCAGTGTGGATCTCCCCGATAGAATTGTGAGCTCATTGGGGTGTAGGGGCCCCATGTTGGCTCTGTGCTCTCATTAGTGCAGAACAGTATATGGTGTGCATGGAGGGAGCGGTGAGGTGGTGGAGAGAAGGTCCCCACCCATCTGAGCTGACTCGTCTCCCTGGTGGCTTTGCAGGTGAGGCAGCTCCAGGAGGATGCGGCCCGTCTCCAGGCAGCCTATGCAGGTGACAAGGCTGATGACATCCAGAAGCGGGAGAACGAGGTCCTGGAAGCCTGGAAGGCCCTGCTGGATGCCTGTGAGGGCCGCAGGGTGCGGCTGGTGGACACAGGAGACAAGTTCCGCTTCTTCAGCATGGTGCGCGACCTCATGCTGTGGATGGAGGATGTCATCCGGCAGATCGAAGCCCAGGAGAAGCCCAGGTAACCCTGCTGGCGTCCTGGGTGGGAGGAAATCCAGCCTGCTGACCCCGGGCGATTGTAGAGGGATCTTCTAGAGAGAACCAGGGGCCTCTCCCGAGAGCTTCAAGGCCAGAGACGGGGTGATGAGGAGTTTTGGAGCAGCTTCTCTTGCTTCTGTTGTCTACAGCACACAGTTACCAGGGAACCAGGCACAGTGTTGTCGAACCCTCTCTCCTACCCATCCACCCCCATGCTCCACACTCACTCCTGCCCTCCTACCCTTTCTCTGGGCCTTATGCTTCAAGCAGCTACATACCCTGGGCATGACTAGCTTTCCCTCATCATTGGAATTGAGTTCTTTTTCTGTGTCTGAGATTAAAAACCACTCTGTCCTTTTTCTCATGCATTACCAAAAGTGTCTCTTACCCTCACCATCGCTTAAATGGTGTCTTGAGACGATTATTTAATATTTGTTCCATATCTTCTCTCTGGCCGTGTTTGCTGCAAGGCAGTGAAGAGCAGCTAAGACATGAACGGGCAGGCCACATACACAACTCCAGTTTCAGCCCTGCCAGCTCCAGTCCCCGCTGTAATTGAGAAAAAGTCTTTTATTACTGTATATATAAAAAGCAGTTGTATTTCCCAGATCAGGACTTCAGGTTTTGATTCATGAGAAGTTCTCACAGCTCTGTAGTCCTTGATTTCCAAGCTGGTGGTGGCTCTGTGTGCCTCTTCGTGCCTGAATAAGAGGGGATATCAGCTGCTCTTTGGAATAGACATGTCCTGAACCTTTGGCACTAACTCGTGGGGGTATAAAAGTTTAAACAGAAATCCAGTGGTTTTTCTGGCACTTGCCTGGCAACCATTTGGAGTTACTCAAATGTGTGCACGTGTGTGTGCGCACGCACACACACACACGAATGAGAGAAGCCTTATTCCAAATGTTAGGTTGCATTGCTGGTCCTCAATCAGACCTGAAAGACATATTGTGCTGTTGTGCTGTTCCTGCAAATTAATTACGTGTTTTGAAACCTGCATGTTTATTTGGAAAGCTTGATCTCCTAAAGGAGGTATTATTTGTCTAATTTTAGGGATGTATCATCTGTTGAACTATTAATGAATAATCATCAAGGAATCAAAGCTGAAATCGATGCTCGTAATGACAGTTTCACAACCTGCATTGAACTTGGGAAATCCCTGCTGGCGAGAAAGCACTATGCATCTGAGGAGGTAGGACAGCTCTTTGCTTTACGGCCCCGGGGTGAATGCAGTTGGTCTTAGGATGTAAGATGACTTTATTTTGTCAGTACATATGCATGTGCATATGCAGACACATACACAGAGAAATATATATGTATTCATACACAGGTATGCTTACACGTATTTTGAAATTCTTTGCTCCTCTCCCGTGTATGTGGAATAGTTACGCAAGAACACTCTAGGCACAGAATAACATTTCTGCAGGCCTTGAAGTTCCATCCTTTGTCATCTCCTCCGGTACTCACCCTGGGTGGCATCCCTTTTCTGTCTAATTCGAGTGAGGATGGTGGTAATAAAGAGATAAATGATGAGTCAGCATGTGGCCCCCTTGAAGGGGTAGGGTCTTCTCTCAGAGAGGTCAGGGCTTTGCCCCTCTCACTGTCCATCTCTTCCTGAGTGTGTTCTCCATATGGAGCCCCAGAATCGGGAGGTGGCTCAGGGCATGGTTGTCCGCCTCAGGACAGCAGCTGTGGGTGGAGCCCAGCCTTTCCTCTCAGCCCCTTCTGGAAGGCACTTTGCCATGTTTTTCTCTCTAGTACATAAACAGACTGAGTAGTCCTTAGGTACTCTCCCTGGTTTAGTAGGGATCTCTACAGAAAATGTATTTTTCTTTTTTTTTTAAAGATTTTATTTATTTATCTGAGACAGAGAGAATGAGAGAGACAGAGAGCACATGAGAGGGGGGAGGGTCAGAGGGAGAAGCAGGCTCCCCGCGGAGCAAGGAGCCCGATGCAGGACTCGATCCCGGGACTCCAGGATCATGACCTGAGCCGAAGGCAGTTGCTTAACCAACTGAGCCACCCAGGCGCCCGAAAATGTATTTTTCTTATGTGAAGTGACCCGTCAAGGGGAAGGCTAGAAGGATGTGGTACAATTTGTTAAGATGTCCCTGTTGTCCTCCTTTTCTCACAGATCAAGGAAAAGTTACTGCAGTTGACAGAAAAGAGAAAAGAAATGATTGACAAATGGGAAGACCGTTGGGAATGGTTAAGACTGAGTAAGGACCTACTTAATCTTTCCTTTCTTTTTGGGTGTCTATTGACCGCATGCAAGTTTAGTTTCCTACTGTGATTTGCTGTGATGTTACCACGTAATGATTTTTGGAGTTCTTAACGCTTCTTTCTTAATGCCCTAGTTCATCATTTCATGCTAAATATTTTTAAGTAGTTCCCTGTGGCATATACATTATTTTTCATCCCATGATTGATCTCAGTGTTGTAAGTGGGATTTGGGTGTTCTTCAGGAACAGCATGGAATAACAATTTGGTATCCCTCTGGGAGAGTCCAGCTTGAAGTCCCTTCCTCCTCTAGTTATCTTTAAGAGGAATTATTACTGCAGTCAAGAAGGTAGAAAGTTGGCCTGATTAGGTCTTCTATCTGGTGCTCTTAATAGAAGGTTGGTAACTTTATAAAAGCTACCAATTACGAAGGTTTTGCAATGAGCTGGGCATTATTCTAAGTGTTGTATATATTTTTCTGTATTTACGCCCCAAGAGGACCCTCTGAGGTAGATTTTAATTTTAGTCTGATTTTATGAAGGAATATGTGAGCTACCACAGAGTTTATAACATGGGAATAGCATTTAATAATAGGTATAAACACTGAAGGTAGCCCAACTCCAGCATGATTTACCATGCTTCGCCATTCTGTGCATGGGGCTCTGGGCTCTCTCAGTGTAATAGAACCTCATTCTCAGACCCCAGGGGTGCTCACTGGAAACAGAATCCAGGGGGCCTTGTCTAAAAGGTTTGTAAAATGCCTAATGCAGGCACCTCACCCTTTTGGGCTAGAACCCTCTTGAAAAAGAGATCCCGCTCTCGACCATTATTTGGACGAGGATTTGGTGTACAAATTGTGAGGATTTCCAGGGCACGTTCACTTCAGCAAAGCCTGTGTTCTCTGTACTGTGAACGAGGCACCAGGTTGTACGCTGGGCGCGCGTGATGAGGGGGTGAGTCCCTCATGCAGCTGTGGGATCTTCTCCTTGTAGCCTTGTTGCGGAGAGGCTGTTGGCAGCTGCTGAGGACGCTGATGCTGCCCGCAGTCCTTTCCTCACCTGTATGGCCCCAAGCATCACCGCTTGAGATGGAGTGAAAATTAATGCTGGCCATGGTGCAAAGCCAAGTTCTAACCTGCCCTTCCCTTCACTGCAGTGGACGTCCAGCTGTCTTTCCTCCCTCTCAGCTCCCCCAAATTAAAACCGACAACTACCACCCCAGGAAGGGTGGTTGATGAATGAGTGCCTGCGTAGTCTGGTTGTATGTAGACTGAATTCCTTCAGGGCCCTGAGGCTTATCTCACTGAAGTAGGGCGGAGTGAGTAGAGCATACCTCCTAGGCCTGCACTGTCCACTGTGGTAGCGTGGTAGCCCCTCTCCACCTGTGGCTCTTGAGAACGTGCAGTGTGGCTCGTCCAAACTGAGGTGTGCTATACGTATAAAATGTGTATCATTTCAGAGACAGAAGGAAAAGAAGTTCCGTCTCAATTTTTTTATATTGCTTACATGCTGAAATCATAGTTTGATCTATTGGCTTATCTAAAATACACTTGTTAATTTCACCTGTTTGTTTTAAAGTTTCACCGATTTATTTTCTGTGTGGCTACTAGAAAAGTTAAAGTGGGATAAGTAGCCCACGTCACACTTAGGCTGTACCGCGCCGATCGAGGCTGGAGACTGGCAGCGTGGGCAGCTGCCACCAGGGCAGCATCGTCCCCTGACTGCCCGGGGCACCCCCCCCGCTGGCCCACACTCACTCTTGGTACCCTGTGCAGTTTTGGAGGTCCACCAGTTCTCACGGGACGCCAGTGTGGCTGAGGCCTGGCTGCTCGGACAGGAGCCCTACCTATCCAGCCGAGAAATAGGCCAGAGTGTGGACGAGGTGGAGAAGCTCATCAAGCGCCACGAGGCTTTTGAGAAGTCTGCAGCCACCTGGGACGAGAGGTTCTCTGCCCTGGAGAGGCTGACGACGGTGAGTGGCCGCTGGGTGCTGGGGGTGCTTGGCCTTTTGGTTCTCCTGGGCAGCTTAGCTTCTTCCTGTTTTCCTCCTAGACCAGAGAGTCATGTCATTGCTCTGTTGTTAGAAGCAGTGAGGACCTTCCTGAAACTGGCTGTTCTCTTGGTACAGAACTCGGTGAGACTGTCCAGGGCTGCCACTCCCTCAGTTACTTCCTGCGTACCTAGCTGTGTAGTCACTTCCCTGCCTGGGAACTGATTGATTGGGGTTTGCTTTTCTCTTTTGATCTGCTTTTCCTGTTATATCTCATAGAAGCTTTGGTTTGTAGGGGAGCTTCGCCTTACAGTTTAATTCAGATTTTCAGAATCAGAATTTCTATCAAGTAGTAGCTGGATCTTAGACCACTGAGAATTCTCTCATTCCTGATCATTTCTTCTGCCACCATTAAATTAAAGCTTTAGAATAAGGCTTGCTCACTGGTGTTTCCCCTCCAGTGACACTTGCACTTCTGATAGAAAGCTGATTCTTTATGGTCTACAAAAATGGAGTTCTTTCCAGTTTCTGCAGTACTGAGGATTTAAAACATATCTGCATACGTGTGTGTTAACTGGAATATTTTTAGTGCATACATACTGCTTGTGAAATGGCTTAGTTTCAGTTAGACTGCTCTGTGGCTTTTCTTTTATGTTACTTGGGTTTGGGCTGAACACAGATGCCTACCGCAGCACGAGAAGCCCCCTTGAGAATTACTGCAACTCTGTCTCAGTGGTGTTTGTCTGAGCTCTGATGGGAAGTCCATTGTGGACCCTCATGCTCAGGTACTTTCTTCCCAAGCAGAGTTGAGAGCTGCATAGTTCATTTAGAAATGAAACCCGGGGTCCCAGGGGGCACCCAAACCCATTGAGTAGACCTGCGTCGTCACTCAGGTCTGTTTCCCGTCGTTCCGGGTTATAGCTGCAGTTCCTGTGATCCCAGTGCCGTCTTGCTGGGTGTCAGCCCTTCTGGTTGTCCAGCGCGATCCAGGGTAGAAAACTGAGGCAGGAGGGCTTTCTGGGTTCCTGAAGAACCCTTTCCTTAAAAGAGGCAGAGTTTGGGGCTCTGCTGAACATTGCTGTGTTTGCCCTCAGTTGGAGTTACTGGAAGTGCGCAGACAGCAAGAGGAAGAGGAGAGGAAGAGGCGGCCGCCCTCTCCCGAGCCGAGCACGAAGGCTTCTGAGGAGACTGAGTCCCAGCAGCAGTGGTGAGTCGTGGGCAGCCTGCACTGCTCGCGTCTTAGCTTCCCTGACAAGTGAGGTTTGGGGATCATCTTTGCTAAGCTTGTGCTACACTAGGCCTCACCACATGCCCTTCTGTTAATTCTGTAGAGTATGTCAAATCTGTGTAGTCACCCCCGGATGACATCGGAGAACACAGACTTGTCCGAAGTGACATTGCTGTGTAGGGCGGCAGAAGTGGGGTGTAGACAGCACCACTCCACTGCCTGCACACGCGTGCACACGCACACACTCGGAATTCCCATGTGACTAGTGAAGGGAGTGAACCACCCAGATTTCAGGCCACTGATTATGTGGTGATGCTTTTTGAAAGTTCTTCACATAAAGAACAGAAATTATTGTCTATTTCTGAAAAACTAATGACTATGCTGTGGTAAGAGCCCCGTGCCAACCCTGAATGCTGCCTGTACTGGGGGGAGAGGGCATGCCTGTGCTCCTGCTCTCTACCTAGACTTGGTTTGGAACACCTGAGAAGTTCCTAAAAAGAAATTGCATTACGTAAAAGGGGGTTGCATATGTTTTTCTGAGAGAAAGTCCGTAGTAAAATTGAGTGATGTTATTCTCCCTCATCATCTCTCTTTTTCTCTTTTTCCTCCCTTTCCTTACCTTCCCCTTCCCTCCTCTGCCCTCCTTCCCTGCTTTACCTAACAGGGATACTTCAAAAGGAGAGCAAGTTTCCCAGAACGGTTTGCCGGCTGAACAGGGATCTCCACGGGTTAGTTACCGCTCTCAAACCTACCAAAACTACAAAAACTTTAATAGCAGACGGACAGCCAGTGACCAGCCGTGGTCTGGACTGTGAAGTTCACTACCATTTGTCAAGAACCACTCTTTCCAAATCCTGTTGGTTTGACCATTTGGCTTCCACTTCACCCACAGTGTTAAAATTTTTCCTTAATTCGTAGGCTTCCTTGGTTTCATATTTGTTTGCATTTAATTCATGTTTATTTGAGCCTATTAACTGATGGATACTCAGTTGCCTTAAAGCAACATACTTATTTTTTGTTTATTTATTGTGAGCTTTTTACTTTATTAAGATTTTACAGCGAAAGCCTTACATGAGTAATTGAAATTAAATGAGATTACAGCAAAATGAAGAAGAAAACTAGAATCCGACAGGTATGACACATCCAGTTATACTAACAGGGTGCAATACTGCGCTGCACAGACCCCCCCTTTACAGATGTCATTAACCTGCCATAATATAATAGTAACTAGGAAGATTGGTGTATAAAGAAGGAGACTCTCAGTACTAAGATTAAAACCTTAAGTCAGCTGTGTCACATTCCATGAAGGATGCATTCATTTACTGAAAACGGAAAAAAAAAAGGGGGGGGTGGAGTTGGATCTACTTGGGAAGCTCTGTTAACTTTAGGCACAGAATCTGAAATGATTTTGAGACCCTTGGATTATGTATTACTTTTTCCAAATGAGTTCCTCCATTTTTTACTGCCAAGACCTGAATTGAGAAATTGTGAGCTTACTTGCAGCAAGTAACACAGCCAGCCTCGGGGGGAAGTGCCCGCTGACCCTGCTGCCACCTTGGTCCTGGTCACTGTCAGCACCACCATGACACCCAGCATGGCAGGCGGCAGCAGTCCTCGGCAGGTTCCGGAAGCCTGCCTACCAGACTTCCAGGCCTCTCCATTCAGTCGATGACTTAAGGGTGTCAAACTGTTTAAATTTCTCAAACAAATGGAACAAAAGCCATTCTGGTTCACCCTGATTACTTGAACGCTGCACTTGGTGGACCACCCCTAGGAGCCGTTGGACGCCGCCTGGCTTCAGAAGGAATTGTAGCGTCTGTGTAGACAGAAACTCCATTGTATGTCTCATACGGATCTTCTCGTTTTCATTTTCTTATGACTTTTTTTTGTGAGGTTCTCCAATAAGGAGTCTTTTTAGAATGGCATTGATCAGACCACCAGCAGGGATTGAAAATGTTTTAACAGAAATTCTATTCCTTAGGAATAAAAGCTTATGAAAGAGGTGATTTCCTGGTACTGATACAGACAGAACAAAACCAAATCCATACTACATCCAAGCCTTGTGAGACAGTCACTTGCTCATTTGCCATATTTAGATGTTAGTGGGATCAGAAACCTGTTTTGATATGTGTTTTCCATGAGTTAAGTCTGATTTGTCTTTTCATTTCATGATGCATGTTTTTTTTTTTTTTTCTTTTGTCAGGATAACATCATATAGCATCTTGTTTGTTTTTCCTTATTTCTATGTACATATCTATCTACTTGCGACTGTAGATGGGTATATAGATAGATGCCAAGCTTCTTATGTTCTGGGGGTAGTGTGCACCATTATTGGGTCTCTGCCTTAAAACGCACCAAAATTCATTTTAGAAAAAACTACTGCTTTATCTTTGGTCATTAGGGAGCCCTGATAAGTGTTTCTGGCTCCAGATTCTGTGTCACTGATCTGTATGTATATATGTGATGTTTCCATATATATATGTTTAAATTTTATATTATCTGGAATGATACCCAATTGTATGCTTTTTGTATTCAGAAGACCAAAAAAAAAAAAACACACAGAAATAGTGCAATGATGTTTTTGGCATTTGTTCTCATGCCTATTTTTATCTAGATTTTTAAATTGTAGCTTGCCAGAACAAGTTTTTTATTATAACTGGATTGGAAGAAGAAAAGCCTTTTCATTCTTTGGAGTTGTGGTGCAGAGACTCAAGTTAATGAACTTGAAAATAGTGTTGCTTTCATGCACTTAGAAAACCAATCAGGCGTTTCTTGTGCTACTAGTTGTCACGTTGCATTCGTGTTCACCTCCTGATTTAAAGATCTCAGGTGTACCCAGCCACTAAAGCACTCTGGACTAATCGCTAAAGAGAAGCAACATGGGGTGGGGGTTGGGGGGAGATTCACATGTATGATCATAGCACTATGATTTGCTTTTGATGTTTGTCTCTAGTGGTGTGTTGTCTGTTGGCATGCTTAAGCACATGTCCATTAAAAATCATTTTGTTCCTTTTATTTTCCTTGTTTTCTTGGTTTAGTGATTCATTTGCATAAACATTAATTATCTCTGCATACTGGTTTGGGGTTTTCTCTTTCCTTCTAACTCTAAAGAAAAAAATTTTTGCTGCAGAATTTCCCCCAGAAGAGGCTTCCCTGGCCTTGGCCCCCCTTGAAGTCTGCCCCAGTGCTATAAACGTTAGCCTGTCAGCAGACACTGCTCCCTCCAGGTCCCTGCTGTCACCAGCAGTTTCCGAGCCACAGCTGCAGCACTAATTTTTTTTTAACCTGGTTTCTATACACACTAACCCTATGTCTCCCTAGACTCACACCTGGCATAGGCCTTTCAGACCAAACTCACACTTTCCCACCAGAAGTTTCCTGAAATTCCACACTAGAACAGATTTGTCAACTTTAAAATCCACTCACTTCCTTTGGACTCAGGGTTTTGTTTTTTGGTGGTCATTTCCCCTCCTGCATCTCTCCTTTAAAAGTGAAAGGAAAGAGAAATATGGAAATAGCCTGTTGCTCATAAGCACACATCTACAGGGTGTCACTTAGGAGGCCAGGATAATCACATATCCATCCTCCTCCCCCATGCCTTCCTTGCCCTAAGAGTCCCATTTCCCACATTGCTGTGTGGGTAAAGGGCTCCAGTCAAAAACACCCTTAAATTGCAAAGCCTCTGGTCTTACCCTGAACCCTGATGCTGACAGTGATAGTCTGTATAGATGGAAGAGAAGCTCATGACTCCCACCCCGCCACTTAGCTAAGGCCTAAACAAGTGATCCTGTTCCCAAGAGTTGACATGTCTGAGTGTCAAAGCAGTGGTGGTTGTTCTCCCATTTCTCCTGTTGAAGTTGTTGCTGCTAACTTGTCATTTTGGTTCTGGGCAGCAGTGGTGGGGGACGTATCTAATGAACGTTGCCATTGACACCTCCATGTTTGTCCGTGTACGAGGGGTGCAGGTTGTCTGTAACCCACTAAAGTGTCAGCCACACCCAGCTTTAGTAACTTGCTAATCCCGCGCCCTGGGTGTATCAGCCAGGGCCGAGACAGTTAATGGTACACAGTTGATGGTACACAGGCTGAAAGCGATAATGAGCCGAGACCCTACTGCATTTCCAAAGCCGAAAAGCCCCGAGGGTCACAGTATAAATGAGCTTGGGAAGGAACAGCTCCCGAAGACGTCTCCAGCCTGACGGTCAGAGCCGCGGGAAGTCTGGCTGTGTCTGGGCTTTCTCGTCTCAGTGCAGCAAGGCACCGTGATCAACCAACACGTGATGGGGAAGGCCCTGGTTCTGTCTGTGTTTGGGGGTAAATAGCCGTGTGGTGTTGAGTGACTGTGATTGGCTTTTCCGGCTCCTTTAACACCAACTACAACCCACTCACGATACAACTCCGGCAGATGTGGTTAAATTGATGTTTGTTGACTTGCCTCAATTCCTTCCAGCTCTTAAGTTCCAAAGTCTAACTGGGATGGTAGATGTGAAATGCATGATTGTCGTCCTAATTTCTGCATGTTTTATGACGATGTGTTGAGGGGCGGGGGAGGAGAGCCGGAGAGCATTTTCAGAAACCGGAGGTCTTTCCTTGTCTTACTCTGGGGGAATGCTGTGTAGTTCTGATAGAGTCATCTGTCGGTCTGTTTGTGAATGCCCTTTCGCTTAAACTTCCAGCTCTTCTGGTGACGTCCTTGGTTGTAAGGTGGCTGCTGTATAACGTCCACTCTCTCATATTTAATACGTGTGATTGTTCCTGTCGTCCTTTTGTTTTTAAAGTAACCCTAAGAGGAAATGATCTGAGTTACATTAGAGAAAATGGATTGATCCGAGGAACAGAGTGCAGTAAAACTCATCCTGGCATTTCGCTTTTCTCCCTTCCCCATAAGCGGGCGGGCATTAATCCCTCCCCACCTTCTAATGTCCTTGGTGTCCCGCTGGCTTTGTGGGATGTTGCAATGGTTTTACTGTACTGCTTCCATCTGTGCCCGGCATTTATACACAGCCACGTGTGCGAGTCAGAGCGTATGTGGTCACCCCTGTGGCTCACAGGGTTCGCTGAATGGCCTCTCCACTGTCCCTAGATGGCAGAAACGGTGGACACAAGTGAAATGGTCAACGGCGCCGCCGAGCAGAGAACAAGCTCAAAGGAGTCCAGCCCCATCCCCTCCCCCACCTCGGACCGCAAAGCCAAGGCCGCCCTCCCGGCCCAGAGTGCTGCCACCTTGCCGGCCAGAGCCCAGGAGACGCCTTCGGCCCAGATGGAAGGCTTCCTGAATCGGAAGCACGAGTGGGAGGCTCACAATAAGAAAGCCTCGAGCAGGTGAGAGCAGCGAAGGCTGAGGCCAGCGCCTCAGGAGATGGGAAGTCAGCCCAGCCCGTTCAAGGTCGGGGCACCCGCTTGCCGCCTGGAAAGCCGGGGAGTGGGCGCTGGTGAAGTCCATTTGTTCTTAGCTTCCTGGGCGTCACTTTTTTCTTGGGACTGACATTGGAAAGCGGGAGGAGAGTGCTTTTGATTCACTGAGAGAAGGAAGGTTAATTAAGCGTGGATGGGAATAGCAAAAAGGGGACTTAGTAATTCTTCCTGAGAAGAAATGTGCTAGGCAGAGGTTGGAGAATTTCCCTAAAGTGAAGTGTTCTTCCTTGTGGGATTTTTTTTTTTTTTTAAGACATTCATTTCCCCGGCCTTATCTCCATATCTGTGTTTATTTCACTGCCTCCCAATAGGCCCTACTTTTATTAATAATCTCTTTTATAAATGAGGAAATGGCGGCCCTGTGTGGTGAAAAAAAACTCACTCTTCAGAAACATGGTATATGGCAAAGCCCGGGTGAAATTCTTACCTGATTCCAGAGCCAGTGTGCTTAACCAATGATCCCTTCTGCCTGGGACCACCATGTACAGTTGTACAGGTTGTACATTAGACCAGGAAATCCCCATCTCAGAGCTGCCACCCACATTGAGTACAACATAAATTTTTATGTTAATCTAGGTAGGTGGCAGTACAGCATCTTCTGATAAAAATCAGTATATCATGACAGTTTGCCATATCATGGGGGAAAGGCTGTCTTTTTTCTGATTCATCCGGAGGTACTACCAGTGCTAATGGCCCTGGATCTGCCTCCCTGTCAGGTTGCCAAGCCCCATCAGGATTAAAACTGCGGTGGAAGAGTTAGGTGTTTCAGGACAGGCATGTTTCAGATGAGGAGTCTGCCCTGTACGGCATTACCACAAGAGGGTACTACAGCAAAGAGAACCAACCCCAATAAAAATCTTTCCCGTCAGAGCCAGGAGTACCTTTATGTAATAGAAGAGGGCAGCATGTTTTTCCCCAAACTCAGAGCATCACCTGCCCTCAGTCACCTGCCACGGGATGAATGTGGACACTGTCCCAGCAGTCTGTGGAGGAATTTTGTTTTCTTGTTTAGTTTTAGCAGAATTTAGGAAAGGCTTTTAACAAGGGGTCACACCACGTGGTGTGTGGATCGTTTGCATATTAATCACATCCTTAATTCTTTACAGGAGTGTGGTCTAGAACCCTGACATTCCTTTCTTTACTGCTCAGGTCCTGGCACAATGTTTATTGTGTCATAAATAACCAAGAAATGGGTTTCTACAAAGATGCAAAGACGGCTGCCTCTGGAATCCCCTACCACAGCGAGGTCCCTGTGAGTTTGAAAGAAGCCATCTGTGAAGTGGCCCTTGATTACAAGAAGAAGAAACACGTGTTCAAGCTGAGGTGAGAGGGGCCCCGTTTCTTGGTTGCGGAGAGTAGGTGTATTTTCACTCTTGGGGTTGGTTTTCCCAGGCAGGTACTGTGATCAGTCGGTTCTTCCTCTCTGCCATTTAAAAAAAATCACCAGTGAAACTTGTGTGGTTTGTCCCATGTCTCGGTTAGGATCTTTAGGGACTGTGGCCAGTCACCAGTCTCCCTGTGGTTCATGGCACAGCTCAGCCTTGAAGACAATGAGCTTTTGTTTTGATAAGCTGGAACTTACTGTTCCTTAAGACAAGGTGAGCTGTTCACATTTTAAGGGAAACGTAGAAAAATAGTTCACCCATTTTTGCAGCTTATCCAGACCCAGGAGTTGCTATTCTTTGCCCACAAGTTATGTGGAGCTGGGTCAAGTGAGTCATCCTGGAGCTGGATGGAGATAAACAGGAAGTGCATGTGTGGGACCTGGGTCTTTCTGCTCCCCTGGCTTGCCCAGCAGATGTTCCAGCTGCTTCTGGAACCATCTAGTTCCACATGTCCTGGCTTGTAGAACACATACACCTCCATCAGAGTGGATCCAGGCTCAGAAGTTCTTAGAAATGGGCAGAAAAGCCGTTTCATCTTGAAAAATATAGAAAGTACGGACGCCTGGGTGGCTCAGTCGTTAAGCGTCTGCCTTCGGCTCAGGTCATGATCCCAGGGTCCTGGGATCGAGTCCC